GTGCTGGGAGGCCTCGCGGCTCCGCTTGACACCGGAGCAGTGAGGCCTCGCTTCTCAGCTGATCCCGGGTTCGGGAGGCCTCGTGGCTCCACTGATCCCGGTGCCAGGAGGCCTCGCTGCTCAGCTGATCCCGGGTTCGGGAGGCCTTGTGGCTCCACTGATTACAGGCCAGGAGGCCTCGCAGCTCCGCTGATCCCGGTGCCGGGAGGCCTTGCTGCTCAGCTGATCCCGGGTTCGGGAAGCCTTGTGGCTCCGCTGATCACAGGCCAGGAGGCCTCGCAGCTCCGCTGATCCCGGTGCTGGGAGGCCTCGCTGCTCCGCTGATCCCAGGCCGGGAGGCTTTGCGGCTCTGCTGATCCCGGTGCTGGGAGGCATATTACCCTTTTACTATATAGGATAGAGGCCTGGTGCATGGGTGGGGGCCGGCTGGTTTGCCCTGAAGGGTGTCTTGGATCAGGGTGGGGGTCCCGCTTGGGTGCCTGGCCAGCTGGGTGAAGGGATGATGGCTGTTTGCAGCTGGTCACACCCCCTTCAGGGTGGGGGTCCCCACTGGGGAGTCTGGCCAGTCTGGGTGAGGGGCTGAGGGCCGTTTTCAGGCTGGCAGGTGACTGAAGCTCCCAACCTCTCTTTTATTTCTTTTTTCTTTTTTTTCTGGGATGTATTTACCTTTTATGGCTGTCACTGGAGCTGAGAGCCGTCTTTAGCTCTAAGGCTTGGCTCCAGCCCTGAGACCTCAGCTGCTGAAAGCAGGTTTCTGGGCTTTGTTTACTTTCTGTATTTGAAACATTGTTGTGACTCCAGCTCTGAGATCCCGGCTGGCTGAAAGCAGGTTTCTGGGGTTTTGTTTAGCTTCTATATTTGTAACAATGTTTCTTAGAGAGCAGCTGAGAGGCTGGCAGCAGCAGGCAGGGAACCTGGCTTCCTCCGTCACTGGAGCAAGCAAGCCTCCTGTTCGCATCAGCTGCCTGGCTCCCGGCCGCCATCTTGGTTGGCAGTTAATTTGCATATCTCGCTGATTAGCCAATGGGAAGGGTAGCGAAGTTACGGCTAATTAACATGTTTCTCTTTTACTAGATAGGAGATATATATATATATATATATATATATATATATATATATATATATATATATAATGTATCTAGCAACATTAATGGTATTATTACTAGAAAAACATTGTTCAGCTACCATGATGATATTTTGCTAGGCCCTGATCTAAACACTTTGCATGCACTAGTTCCATGGTCGGCAAACCGTGGCTCACAAGCCACATGCAGCTCTTTGGCCCCTTGAGTGTGGTTCTTCCACAAAATACCACGTGCAGGCGTGCACGTACAGTGCGACTGAAACTTCGTGGCCCATGCACAGAAGTCGGTATTTTGTGGAAGAGCCGGTATTTTGTGGAAGAGCCACAGTCAAGGGGCCAAAGAGCCGCATGTGGCTCGCAAGCCGTGGTTTGCCGAGCCGCAGTTTGCCGACCACTGCACTAGTTCATGTGAGCCTCTCACTTAACCTATAAGGTAGGTACTTTTTGTTATTCCCATTTTACAAGCGAGGAACTGAGATAGAGAGGTGAAAGTATTTGCCCAAAGCCCAGAAATGACAACAGAGGACATGGGTTCAAACCTGGCCATCTGGCTCAATAGCCCTACTTCCTAGCCACATACACACTGCCTCTCCACTACCAATATCCCATGGAACCCTCCCTGAGCTTCCTGAGGAGTCTTCTCTCTGCCCCCAGAGTCAAGAGACCTCTCTGACTGTGTCCCCTCCAGCATGGCTATCTTTTGTTCAAGCACTGGCTCACCATACAGGGGCCCTCCCTCATTCACACACATAAAGATGAAAACAGCAGAACAAGATCAGTTTTCAAAAGTGTAGAAGCAAGGCGCACAATCCAAAGTTAAGAGGGAGGTAGCGAAGGCCTGGGGCAGCGGACGGGGTGGGCTAGAATTGGGGGAAATGGGGAACATATGTAATACCTTCAACAATAAAGATTAAAAAATAAATAAAGTGAAGAGAAAGGAAAAATTAAAAACTATGGATTACAGAAGCCTGGGGAAGGTGTCATAAGGATTCTAAGGGTGGAAAGAAAAGGAAAGCACTATTGCCAAGGGCAAGGAGGGAGACGGGGATGAACCACGGAGGGAGATGGGAGTGAACCACAGAGGGAGATGGGAGTGAGCCACAGAGGGAGATGGGAGTGAGCCACGGAGGGAGATGGGGGTGAGCAGAGAGGGAGATGGGAGTGAACCACAGAGGGAGATGGGGGTGAGCAGAGAGAGAGATGGGGGTGAGCCACAGAGGGAGATGGGAGTGAGCCACGGAGGGAGATGGGGGTGAGCACGGAGGGAGATGGGAGTGAGCCACGGAGGGAGATGGGAGTGAGCCACGGAGGGAGATGGGGGTGAGCAGAGAGGGAGATGGGAGTGAACCACAGAGGGAGATGGGAGTGAGCCACGGAGGGAGATGGGGGTGAGCAGAGAGGGAGATGGGAGTGAACCACAGAGGGAGATGGGAGTGAGCCACGGAGGGAGATGGGGGTGAGCAGGGAGGGAGATGGGGGTGAGCACGGAGGGAGATGGGAGTGAGCCACGGAGGGAGATGGGGGTGAGCAGGGAGGGAGATGGGAGTGAGGCACGGAGGGAGATGGGGGTGAGCAGAGAGGGAGATGGGAGTGAACCACAGAGGGAGATGGGAGTGAGCCACGGAGGGAGATGGGGGTGAGCAGAGAGGGAGATGGGAGTGAACCACAGAGGGAGATGGGGGTGAGCAGGAGGGAGATGGGGGTGAGCAGGGAGGGAGATGGGAGTGAGCCACGGAGGGAGATGGGGGTGAGCAGGGAGGGAGATGGGGGGTGAGCAGAGAGGGAGATGGGAGTGAACCACAGAGGGAGATGGGAGTGAACCACAGAGGGAGATGGGAGTGAGCCACGGAGGGAGATGGGGGTGAGCAGGGAGGGAGATGGGGGTGAGCACGGAGGGAGATGGGAGTGAGCCACGGAGGGAGATGGGGGTGAGCACGGAGGGAGATGGGAGTGAACCACAGAGGGAGATGGGAGTGAGCCACGGAGGGAGATGGGGGGTGAGCACGGAGGGAGATGGGAGTGAGCCACGGAGGGAGATGGGGGTGAGCAGGGAGGGAGATGGGAGTGAGGCACGGAGGGAGATGGGGGTGAGCAGGGAGGGAGATGGGAGTGAACCACAGAGGGAGATGGGGGTGAGCAGGGAGGGAGATGGGGGTGAGCACGGAGGGAGATGGGAGTGAGCCACGGAGGGAGATGGGGGTGAGGCACGGAGGGAGATGGGGGTGAGCAGGGAGGGAGATGGGAGTGAACCACAGAGGGAGATGGGGGTGAGCAGGGAGGGAGATGGGGGTGAGCACGGAGGGAGATGGGAGTGAGGCACGGAGGGAGATGGGGGTGAGCAGGGAGGGAGATGGGAGTGAACCACAGAGGGAGATGGGGGTGAGCAGGGAGGGAGATGGGGGTGAGCACGGAGGGAGATGGGAGTGAGCCACGGAGGGAGATGGGGGTGAGCAGGGAGGGAGATGGGGGTGAGCAGGGAGGGAGATTGGGAGTGAGGCACGGAGGGAGATGGGGGTGAGGCACGGAGGGAGAAGGGGTTGAGCACGGAGGGAGATGGGAGTGAACCACAGAGGGAGATGGGGGTGAGCAGGGAGGGAGATGGGGGTGAGCAGGGAGGGAGATGGGAGTGAGGCACGGAGGGAGATGGGGGTGAGCAGGGAGGGAGATGGGAGTGAACCACAGAGGGAGATGGGGGTGAGCAGGGAGGGAGATGGGGGTGAGCACGGAGGGAGATGGGAGTGAGCCACGGAGGGAGATGGGGGTGAGCAGGGAGGGAGATGGGAGTGAACCACGGAGGGAGATGGGGGTGAGCAGGGAGGGAGATGGGGGTGAGCACGGAGGGAGATGGGAGTGAGCCACGGAGGGAGATGGGGGTGAGCAGGGAGGGAGATGGGGGTGAGCAGGGAGGGAGATGGGAGTGAGGCACGGAGGGAGATGGGAGTGAGGCACGGAGGGAGAAGGGGTTGAGCAGGGAGGGAGATGGGGGTGAGCAGGGAGGGAGATGGGGGTGCGCAGGGAGGGAGATGGGGATGAGTCACGGAGGGAGATGGGGGTGAGCAGGGAGGGAGATGGGGGTGAGCAGGGAGGCAGCGCCAGGAAGGAACTCTGCCAAGTGTGACTCTTGTTTGTTCTGACCCCAAGCGGCATCTGACCTGTCAAATTGGTAATCAGGTAGTGAATTGGAATTAATGAATAAGAGTGCCTATTAGGGAAGAAAAAGGGAAACACTAGACAGGGAAGGTGGGGGTGGCAAGATTCACTACAGAACCACCATCCCCCGGGAGACCAGCTCTTCAACGGGAAAGGACTTGGGCTCCACATGCTGGGGAGACTGCATGGGGTGGAGAACTCCAGTTCCAGGGAAAACAGAAAACAAAACAACACAAACAAACAAACATCTGTCCCTGAGGCCTGAGATACAGTGACCGCACCTGAGAGCCTGCGCCGCTCGGCTCCGCAGCCATGTCCCCGCTGGGTTCTTCGCCCCGAGGACGGCAGAGTCTCCAGAGGGCAGATCTGCGAGAACAGGGGCGCCAGGAGGGAGAAGCCCCTTCCATTTCCACCCTCAGACTCACCAGCTCTCGGACCCCTGCACCTGAGAACGGCTCCGTGAGCCCTCGGGGAGGGGAGTCAGGAGGAGCGAGGGGCAGACCCCTCCGCCCCGGCTCAGCAGCAGCGAACCCCGGCGTCTGCACCCCCATTTCACAGGTCGGGACACTGAGGCAGAGCAGGAGCGCTCGCCCCAATTCACACCGCCGGCGAGGGCGCCCCAGGATCCCCACCACGGCGCGCCCCGGGGACCCCTCCAACCTCACGGCGCGCCCCGGGCGCCCCCTCCAACCTCACGGCGCGCCCCGGGGACCCCTCCAACCTCACAGGCGCGCGCGACAACTTTCTCCGCCACCAGCTTCCCCACCTGACGCCCCTCCCGTGAAGTTATCCAGGTCCAGGTGTGGCGAGCAAACGGCCTCGGGGAGGTCAACATCCCTTCGCTCCGGCGCGCGCGGGGCTGGCTGCTGTCCAGGGAGGGGGCGCCGACACCAACGCTCGGGTCCAGACCGGACTCTGCCACCGGGCGAGGCGGCCACTCCCTCCGCGCGGAAAGCTGACCGCCCGCCGGCCTCCGGGGCCGAGGACGCGAGCGGAGGAAACCTGTCCTCACGGGCCGGCGGCCGGGACCGAGGGTCGGCAGGTGGCGGGGCCCGGGGCCCGCGGGACGAAGGGCCCGACCAGCCGCGTTCCGGCGCCCGAATGCGGGGCGGCCCCCGGGGGCGGCGAGCAGAGGCGGTGCCCGGCCCGCGCCCACAAAGGCCCCGCGCGCCCCTCGGCCAGTGCGGCGCATCCTGCCGGGGCCGCCGTCCCCCCGCGCACCCCGCGGGGCCCCGGCCGCTCACCTCGCCGCGCTCCCAGGAGGGAGGCTCGGGGACCGCCCGGCCGCACCGCCGCCTCCGGCCCCGACTCCCCCAGGGCTCCGGCCGGGAAGGCGCTCACTCCGGCGGCAAAGGTCCAGCGCCCCGCGCAGGTCCGGCCGGGGCGGGCCGTCTCTCTGGGAAATGGAGCCCACGCGAGAGCCGAGGATTCTGGGAAGTGTAGTCCTCAGAGCCTGTCTGCGCTCCCGGTCAGGAAAGGGCGGTTCCGGGCGGGTCCTCTCTGCATCTGCATACAGATGTCAGGCGGACAGACCACAGGCAGGACCCGCTAACTTTCCCTGTCATTCAAGGAAAGTGCACGTGTGCCCAGCCTGTCTAGGCAGCTGGAAGTGTGTCCGTGAGGAAAACAAAGATCATTGGTTGCTCCCTGCTCTCCAGAACTCTTTGAGGAGGTGAAGCGCATACATAAGCCATGAACATCCTATATAATAAAAGCCCACTATGGCAAGTATCTGGTAGGCCAGTCGTCTGTTCAACCAATCAAAGTGTAATATGCTAATGATATGCTAAGGCTGCTCAACTGCTTGCTATGGCATGCACTGACCACCAGAGGGCAGATGCTCTGACCAGTAGGTTAGCTTGCTGCTGGGGTCCAGCCTATCAGGACTGAGCAAGAAGGGCCAGACACACCCTGGAGCCCTCCGAAGTCCCTCCCTGGCTGGCCAACCTCCCGCCCCAGTTGTGCACTGGTGGGGTCCCTCGGCCTGGCCTGTGCCCTCTCACAATCCGGGACCCCCTCAGGGGATGTCGGAGAGCCAGTTTTGGCCCCACAGTGGAAGGACCAGTCACTGTGACATGCACTAACCACCAGGGGGCAGACGCTTGACACAGGAGCTGCCTCCTGGTGGTCAATGGACTCCCACAGGGGGAGCGCCGCTCAGCCAGAAGCGGGGCTCACACCTGGCAGCAGCAGTGACAGGAGCCGCTCCCACCTCCGTGGCAGCACTAAGGCTGTCCAACTGATGGCTTACCTAAGCCATCAGTCGGACACCCCCCAAGGGTTTCCGACTGCAAGAGGGCACAGGCTGGACTGAGGGACACCCCACCCCAAGTACATGAATTTCATGCACTGGGCCTCTAGTAATTATATAGCTTGTGTAGACAAAAAGGGGACACCTGATTAGCTCAGGGGAGGCCTGCTTGGCAGCCTTGCAAATGCAGAAACCTAAAGTAACCACAAAAGATGGTCTGAAATGAAAACTTTTAAGACTAAAGAGCAGTTTATGGTGTGTAGCCATGTCCAAGGCCGGTATCTTCCAGACAAAGGTCAGTCTTTACCTTAACTGAGTCTGACTGTTGTCTTTTTGCATCTATCGTAACATATTGTTGGAAGGTCAAAGTCATTTTCCATTTTCCAGACCCCTCAGAGCACAGGTACTGCTCTGCAGATATCCCCTCACTGTTACTGAGTTAATTGTTGACTGTTAACTATCCTGCACCCACCTATGTAAGAAATTACTGGTATATACATATATATATATATATATATATATATATATATATATATATATATATATATGATTTTACTTTTCATCCAATCAATCCAAGCTTTCCCCACTTTGAATTCTCCCTAATTGATTACCAATGGATTTTGTGTAACCCACTTACGTCTCCTCCTTTGATTGCAATGTATCAAACAAGGTGCATTCTCTCCAGAGCATTATCTCAATCCATTGAAATTCTGCTTCCTGGCATTTGTTGACGATTTGGCTCAAATAAACTCACAAAAATTCTTCACAGGTTTGAATGTCTCTTATGTTAGGGTTGCCGAAGGAGGAATGCACAAGGCCAAAGGGGGTAAAGAATTATGAATTTATTAGGTCATCTGGATACCAGATGGGCTGAGCCCCCAAATGGCGCCAGCACCCAAAGACGGGGAGTCAGAGGTTTTTAAAGGACTCTAGGTGGGCTTTTTCTGGGGTGGAGAATGCTCTGTGCAGGTCTGGATTCTAGGAAAGTCTGGAGGAGAGAGAGAATGGTCTCAGCAAGTGGAATGTCCGTTGTGAAGTGGTCTAAAGGTCCGTTCCCAGGGGAGGGAGTATCGATTCAATTATTTGATCAGTTCAGTAGCCATGTTTTTTGCCAGGTTTTAGCTTCTAAAAACTCTGATAATATCTTACGTTGACACTTTTTAGATCAGAAGAAAAGTGTTATGGGGAAAAGCGAAAGCGTAGAATCAGGAAGGTGGCCCCTGCAGTCCACAACGTGAGAATGGAGGGAAGAGTCCCAGGCAGCGCGGGAGGGGAGGGGCAGTCCAGGCACTGAGAAACCAACTATAATTTTTAAAATTATACTAATGGAACACGTGTCCCATTTGAAAGGTTGATAATTTCTTTCTTTTTTTTTCTTTTTTTTAAATTTTTTTATTAAATCTTTATTGTTCAGATTATTACAGTTGTTCCTCTTTTTTTCCCCCATAGCTCCCCTCCACCCAGTTCCCACCCCACCCTCTGCCCTTACCATCCCCCCACACTGTCCTCATCCATAGGTGTACAATTTTTGTCCAGTCTCTTTCCACACCCCCACACCCCTTCCCCCCCCCCACCCAGAATAGTCAGTCCACTCCCTTTCTATGCCCCTGATTCTATTATAATCACCAGTTTATTCTGTTCATCAGATTATTTATTCACTTGATTTTTAGATTCACTTGTTGATAGATGTGTATTTGTTGTTCGTAATTTGTATCTTTACCTTTTTCTTCTTCTTCCTCTTCTTAAAGAATACCTTTCAGCATTTCATATAATACTGGTTTGGTGGTGATGAGCTCCTTTAGCTGTTTCTTATCTGTGAAGCTCTTTATCTGCCCTTCAATTCTGAATGATAGCTTTGCTGGCTAAAGTAATCTTGGTTGTAGGTTCTTGCTGTTCATCACTTTGAATATTTCTTGCCACTCCCTTCTGGCCTGCATAGTTTCTGTTGAGAAATCAGCTGACAGTCGTATGGGTACTCCCTTGTAGGTAACTGATTTTTTTTCTCTTGCTGCTTTTAAGATTCTCTCTTTGTCTTTTGCTCTTGGCATTTTAATTATGATGTGTCTTGGTGTGGTCCTCTTTGGATTCCTTTTGTTTGGGGGTTCTCTGTGCTTCCTGGACTTGTAAGTCTATTTCTTTCACCAGGTAGGGGAAGTTTTCTGTCATTATTTCTTCAAATAGGTTTTCAATATCTTGCTCCCTCTCTTCTTCTGGCACCCCCATAATTTGAATGTTGGTACGCTTGAAGTTGTCCCAGAGGCTCCTTACACTATCTTCATATTTTTGGATTCATTTTTCTTTTTGTTTTTCCGGTTGGGTATTTTTTGCTTCTTCGTATTTCAAATCTTTGACTTGATTCTTGCGATCCTCTAGTCTGCTGTTGGAACTCTGCATAATATCCTTTATTTCAGTCCGTGTATGCTTAATTTCTAGTTGGGCCTTTTTCATAACCTTGAGGGTCTCACTAGATTTCTTGAGGGTGTCACTAAATTTATCAGCAGTTTCTAGAAAGTTCTTGAAAAACCTTAAAAGTGTGGTTTTGAACTCTATATCCAGTCGTTTGCTTTCCTCCATTTCTGTCATTTGTGACCTGTTTCTTTGTCTCCACATTTTTTATGCTTCCCTGTGTTGATAGAGTGGCTTTCTGTGTTAGGTGTCCTATAGGGCCCAGTGGTTCAGCCTCCCCAATTACCTGAGGTGGACACTCTTGGTGCACCCCTTTGTGGGCTTTGTGCACAGTCTTCTTGTAGTTAAGCCTTGATTGTTGTAGGTATCACTGGGAGCAATTGACCTCCAGGCCAATTGGCTGTGAGAATCAGCTGTGTTTGCAGTGAGCGAACCTCTGTGCTGGAGACACCCTTCTATGGCAAGACTTGCTTCAGTGGGGCTTTGGTGCTCACTGAGTCTGCCCCCTGAGTGTGTCCCTTATGGATCTGAGGAGTTGTAATCTGGATGGTCCCACTCTGACCACTGGGTACCCTGGCTCTTGGATCTCTAAGGAGGTGCTAATTTAGCCTCTGCCTGAGGCTACCCAGCAGGAGCTATGGAGAGATCTGCAGATTCCTCTTCTTTGTTTGGGGTTTGGAGGTGCCCAGATGAGGCCCAGCTGTGAAGCGATGCAAGCTGCTGTGGGGCCTTGGACCTTTAAGTTCTGGGTCTCTCTGATTCAGCTCCAGTTTGGTAGGTAATTTTCAGGTTGCAAAGGACCAGGCCTTTCATATGCAGAAGCCTCTGCACACAGCTTGGGTGGGGCAGGGTCTCAGGGGATCAACAGGGTGGAGCAAGCATCTATGGCTGCTCCCCAGTCCTACCTTAAGAGGCCCAGCTTCTCAGTGTCCCAGTAATCGCTACAAGCACCTCTGAGAAAAAGCTGCTCTCGAGTTCTGCCCGATGCCAGACAGTCCAGTTTCTCCCTATATGAGTCTGGGTCCCCAGAGACTCACCTGGAACTGGAGTTCAGAGCAGTCAGGAGCTTGAGACTCCCTCCCGATTGAAAAAGACAACCATGTCCTCAGTTTCCAGCCCTCTCCACATGCGCCGCATCCTCAGCTGCCAGCCCTTTCAGCGTGCACCTCCATACCTTTGCACTTTACTTCCGCACCTCCTCTGAGTCTCAGTGTGCTTTTCTCTTTCCTTCTGGTTGTAGAATTTCCGCTCAGCCAGCCTTCCTGTGGTTCTGGATGATGTCCAGTTTGTCTTTAGTTGTATTTTTGAAGTGGTTGTGCGAGGCAGCAATTTCCAGTGTTTACCTATGCCGCCATCTTGGTTTTTCCGATAATTTTTTTCTTAAGTAAAAGAAAAATGCACTTGATGCCAACCACCCAGAAATAAGCAGTTAACATTTTGGTGAACATCTTTAACAGCCCTCTGAACTACACATATTCATTATCAGTCTATCACTGCAGTTCTCATTTTAACAAAATGGGATATTGCAAATTGCAATTGTAACTATGTTGGGTTTTTTTCTCCACTTAAGAATATGTCTT